TATTAATATTTTTAACTTCTATAAACAAAAGTTCTTTGGGCCCTTGATAATTTCTAAGAGTGTAAGGAAACCAAAGCACGTGAGAGACCAAAACGTGTGAACATTGCTGGGCTAGGTCATACCGTGGTCATACAGATCTCCTCACCGTCTGCCCGACTTAACAGATAGTTTATTTCTCTTTCATGCTTGTGTTCACTGTGGGTCAGCATGGGCACTCTGCTCCTCAGTCACTCAGGGAGCCAGGCTGAGGGGGCTGTCTCTCATCACCTGCGGCCAGGCTTAGCAGTCAGGAGAAGGGATGTGTGCACTAGTCCTTGAAAATTTCCATCAGAAGGAAGTGGTGTGTCGGGAGCATTGCAAATACAACACAGCCTGACAAGCACTGAAGTGAGAAACCTAAATCCAGTAAAAACAGATTCTTGAGTTCTCTGTCGCCCTTCCCCTCACATTGCTGGGTCAGCGGGTGTCAGCGAAGTGGCTTGAGGATAGAGAGAAGTCAGGGATGTAAACTATAGAAGGATGTTGCTCATAAGGTGCTGAGCCCCACACCGCATCCTGGACCATATCTTTTCTGTCTTTTAAACTTCTACTGTGCAGTATTTAAGACATACACTAAATACATGTGGAATAATGAAATGAACAGTTGTGTGCCCACCATCAACTTAAGAAGCAAAATGTCACCTGTACCATTAACCTCCCTTTGTACTCGTCCTCATCTAGACGTGGTCTTTTTGTCACAGCCAGTTTTACTTTATTATTTTTATTTTATTTTATTTTTTTCATTTATTTTTATTAGTTGGAGGCTAATTACTTTACAGTATTTTAGTGGGTTTTGTCATACATTGACATGAATCAGCCATGGATTTATATGTATTCCCCATCCCGATCCCCCCTCCCACCTCCCTCTCCACCCAATCCCTCTGGGTCTTCCCAGTGCACCAGGCTTAAGCACTTTTATTATTATTTTTTAGCCATGCAGCTTGAGGGATGTTAGTTCTCTGACCAGGGATTGAACCTGTGCCATGGCAGTGAAAGCACTGACTCCTCACCCCTGGACAACCAGGGAACTCCTGCACACCCGGTGTTAGACACGTTGTGGAGGGCAGCGCTACTGGCCTGAACCCCAGTTTTCTTGTGCTCCCCATCTCTGTTGTTTCACTCTTGCCAGTGCCTCTGCCATGCATTTACTTATGCATCAAATACTTATCAAGTGCCCATTTTGTGCCAGGCACTGTTTAAAGTGCTAGGGATGCATCAGTGAGGGGTAGCAACTTAGGCCATGCCCCAGTAGAGGAGACAGACAGTAAGTATGTGGCCAAAGATAGAATCCATGTCAGGTCACTACCTGACTCTCAAGTACAATGAAGGAAAGTAAAGCAGGATAGGTTGGGTGTAGAGAAATAGCAGTAAAGCCAGTCTGGAAAACCTTCTCTGAGGAGACCTTTGAGCAAAGACCTGAGTGAATTAGCTGAGTGAGTAGTTCAAGAAGAGCATTTTAGTGGAAGAAATAAATAGCATACGCGGAGAACTGGAGGCTAGAATCTCCTTGGGGCGCTTAAGGCAGCCAGGATGGTTGGAGTGGAATAAGGGAGGGAGAAGTGGAGAAAATGAGGTCAGAGAGGTAGCCAGAGGCCAGGTGACTCAGGATTCTATAAACCAGGGTAAAGACGTTGGATTTGAACTTAAGGATGGGGAACAGTTGGAGGCATTTGAGCAGCATAATGACACGAACTCCTGTCTTTCTTAAAAGAATCACTGTGGCCTGCCATGTTGAGAAAAAAAAAACTATAGGAAGCAAGGCCCGAAGCAGAGAGAAGATATGGGAGTAAGCCGTAGTCCAGGGCAGAGAGGAAAGTTGCTTAAGCTTAGTGCTGTGTTGGTAAATGTTTACACACGCTCTGAGGGGCGCAGGGGGCCCAGCTAGTAGCGCTGTCTGATTTCATGGTGTCCGTGCTCCTGCTGTGGTGATTTCAAGCTACCGGTGTGCTCCCACTGGGTGTGGAGCTGGGGCCGCGGTTCACAGTCGGTCTCCTGAGCCGTGCGAGCCACCCGTAGCCCTGCTGCTGGAACTTGGGCCTTCTCAGCCTGGGGTGTGTTTGCAAAGGGGTGTCCAGGCTTGGCTCCATTTCCCAGGGTAGATGGAAGCTGTCCCAGGAAGGGGTATGGACAGGCTTATGAGAGGGAGTCAGTTCCTGAGGTCCATTGCCCAGGAGCCTCGCAGGATAAGCCTAGATGTTGGAAGCCCTGCAAGAGCTCTGGGCTCTCAGATCCTTTGAAAGTGGAGCTCAGCCCCAAACCTCCCTGCAAACAGGAAGCTGGTTTGAGTTAGAACATAAAATAAAAACCAGCTGATGCCCGTGAATGTTTTTCCCCTGCTCCTCCCCCTCCGCAGAGCCAAAGGAAACTGCCTTTTTTTCCCCTTGGATAGCTGCTCAGAAAGCCTGGAGAAGCCAAAACTCGTAAATCCTTTGAAAATCATCCAAGTTTTGAGCCCGGGCGCACTCCTGTCTGTGGGGTTTCCTAGCCCGGATGTCTGCTCTCCTGCCGAGAGTCCTAGGAGGAAAGTGACAGAGGAACACAAAGGTGCCAGGGACCACAGCTGAACCCCAGGCCCAGTGGGGGAGATGGGCCTTAGCAGGGTCCCAGACTGCCACTTCCAGTCTACTTATAGGTCACAAAATCAGTTAAGTGGGCCAAGACCAGCATTACTTTTTAATGAAATGGAATATAATACAAATTGGAGTATATCACATGCAACAAGAGTTAACTATTGTTCTGTGAAACTTTCAGTTTTATGAACAAGCTCACACATGCATGTATGTTTACACTGGATCAAGGTGTAAACTGTCTCTTACCATGGGTTGTAGTTAAAATCGTTTGATAAACACCGGTCTTTCAGGTCTGAGTAACGCACATCTCCTTGCTGCTTTAGATTGCTGCTGAAAGCTCCAAGCTAGTTCCAGAATTAATTCTCTGTGGAACTGGATCATCTACCCACAAAACACCTACCCAAATTCCTGCCAGAGGGAAGGCAAGCTGAGAACCAGCAGACTGGTCTAATTCTTTTGGACCAAAGCTGAAGCATAAGGGAGGGATTGATACAAATGTGAGTTCAGAGGATTTGCCTGAAATCAGATTAGTTTGGAGAGAATAGGAGTTGAGCAGCGTTTTTAGCTCAGCCCTTGCTTTGGTGACCTTTGTCGTCTATGTGGGTAATGCTGGCCTCAGGCTCCTCTTTCTCTGCAGTAGGCAGTTGGTGCAGCAGGAATGTTCCTGAGCACCCCTCCCTCAGCAATAGCCAGAGGCACAGTGCCAGGATAGGGGGCGGTGCCATGAGCTGAGCATCCCCAAGGCTTCCCCAGGGTTGTTTAGTGTTCTCCGGTCTGTGTGCAGCGCTCAAACCTTTCAGAAAGGTTGACTGGGTGCCCAGGGCTGGGGGAGGATTGTTAAGCTGAGAAAAAGTGTGTAAAGGGGCATGTTAGAGCAAAATATCAAGAATGTCTAGAGCAAGTGAAAGTTAGTTTATCCCTCACTAGGTTCAGTGCCTCAGAAAGACCCAAGGGTAGCTGGCGAGTCTGGCTCTTTCAAGGTTGCTGTGGGTCGGTATGGTGCCCTGGAACTAAACTGCCTCTGTCAGACATGTGTTGGAATTCCTGGTCTCCATCCTCAAGAAGTACAGAAGACTCTTGGGGACCTTCTGAGGGAATAACTTTAATTACAATATCCCAGTAAACTTATTTTGATTTTGGCCACCTCAGGGCATTTCTTTACAACATAATTCAAACTAAAGTGGTCCTTGGATATAAGAATTTAAACTCGCCCTCTAGGAACACTTGGAATTCTCCAGTTGGGAGAGTAAGAAAGAAGGAGAGATACTAAAGTGACTGGGTTTTCCCTCTCCAGAAACTGACATGGACTAGGAGCCTGTAACCCCCTGCTATGGATGTGAATACTTCTGAAGTGTTTCTGGTTCCCGAGGCCCTATTAAGGCCCCAAAGACTCTTAACAGAATACACTCTAGCCTGTTTACATGGCCATTCTGCATTCCGAAGCCCTGCCATCTGAACCAACGAAGACAGAGGACCTCCCTGAGGAGGGCCAGTGCGGGGGGTCCAGGTGTTGCTGAGGAGACTGGGCCTGGAGTGACAGGCAAGGCATTCTGTAGCAGGGGGTGAGGTGGAGTGATGAGTTACAGGGCAGTCTGAATCTTACATGGGATTGTGTAGGAGAAAGCTCAGTGAACTAATCTGAGGTTAGTCCAGCAGGTGTCCCAGGGCCTGCAGACAGTGTGGGGTAGCAACAGTGACGATGGGAGTGATGGTGAATGTCTCCTGTGGCCATGTTCTCTCAGAAAATCTCTGAGTACTTTACGTATGTTTCCCTTTCATCTCTGTGAGAGTTGTGGCTTAATAATAATAATTAGAGTGCTCTGAGCATCTGTGCTTTGCAAAACACAGCATTCAGCCATGTCTCTGCCTCTTAGGCTTATAGTCTGTATGAACTGGCTGCCATCTGATGGAGGGGAAGAGTGTGATGGAATGCATAGATCAGGGGTATTATGAGTCACCTAATTGATACCTAACATTATCCCGGCTCTGGGAGATGAGAGTGGCCTGCCTTTCATTCCTGCCAAGGCATGAAGATCAGTGACATCCCCTGAGTCTCACAGACCCAAGAGGCCAGTCTGGGGACCCAGGGCTTTATCTTGTAAATGGAATTTTCCTGGATTGGGGGAGGACTTGTTCCTCTGTGGCCATGAGCTGAGTTTTAACCACTTCATTTTCTTTTCTTTGGATCCAGCAGTTTGATCACTGTTAAAAGCTGGCGATGTACGCCAGCTTTTTTTGGCATGTGATCAGGGGGCCTGTGCCAAATCAGAACCTGGACAAGCCCCATTCTCCAGAAGACAGGGTCACCAGGAAAGCAGTCAGCGTGGGAGAACACCTCCTTCCCAACCCCCTCTGTCCATAACATAACATTTCTCTGTCTTGTTCTCACAGGTGACCTTGGAGAAGGTGCTTGGAATTACAGTGTCTGGAGGCAGAGGACTTGCCTGTGACCCCCGATCGGGTTTAGTTGCCTATCCAGCTGGGTGAGTGTCTTGGCAGCGGTCTTACTGCATGGGAGCTTGTAGCTATGCTAAATCATTTGGAGCAGGCAGGTTTTCCTGGTGTCTTCTGGGCGATACATCCAGGTTAATGTTTTGGTGCCATTTTTATAAATGAGATAGGGGGCCGCATAAAGGCTCCGTGTTTTTTTTTTTTTTTTATCTTCATTTTTTTATTTTTATTTTTTTTTATTTCTTTCATTTATTTTTATTAGTTGGAGGCTAATTACTTTACATCATTGCAGTGGTTTTTGTCATACATTGAAATGAATTAGCCATGGATTTACATGTATTCCCCATCCCGGTCCCCCCTCCCACCTCCCTCTGCACCCGATCCCTCTGGGTCTTCCCAGTGCACCAGGCCCGAGCACTTGTCTCATGCACCCAACCTGGGCTGGTGATCTGTTTCACCCTAGATAATATACGTGTTTCGATGCTGTTCTCTTGAAACATCCCACCCTCGCCTTCTCCCAGAGTCCACAAGTCTGTTCTATACATTGGAGTCTCTTTTTCTGTTTTGCATATAGGGTTATCGTTACCATCTTTCTAAATTCCATATATATGTGTTAGTATACTGTAATGGTCTTTATCTTTCTGGCTTACTTCGCTCTGTATAATGGGCTCCAGTTTCATCCATCTCATTAGAACTGATTCAAATGAATTCTTTTTAATGGCTGAGTAATATTCCATGGTGTATATGTACCACAGCTTCCTCATCCATTCGTCTGCTGATGGGCATCTAGGTTGCTTCCATGTCCTGGCTATTATAAACAGTGCTGCGATGAACATTGGGGTACACGTGTCTCTTTCAGATCTGGTTTCCTCGGTGTGTATGCCCAGAAGTGGGATTGCTGGGTCATATGGCAGTTCTATTTCCAGCTTTTTAAGAAATCTCCACACTGTTTTCCATAGTGGCTGTACTAATTTGCATTCCCACCAACAATGTAAGAGGGTTCCCTTTTCTCCACACCCTCTCCAGCATTTATTGCTTGTAGACTTTTGGATAGCAGCCATCCTGACTGGTGTGTAATGGTACCTCATTGTGGTTTTGATTTGCATTTCTCTGATAATGAGTGATGTTGAGCATCTTTTCATGTGCTTGTTAGCCATCTGTATGTCTTCCTTGGAGAAATATCTGTTCAGTTCTTTGGCCCATTTTTTGATTGGGTCATTTATTTTTCTGGAGTTGAGCTGGAGGAGTTGCTTGTATATTTTTGAGATTAATCCTTTGTCTGTTGCTTCGTTTGCTATTATTTTCTCCCAATCTGAGGGCTGTCTTTTCACCTTGCTTATCGTTTCCTTTGTTGTGCAAAAGCTTTTAAGTTTCATTAGGTCCCATTTGTTTATTTTTGCTTTTATTTCTAAAATTCTGGGATGTGGGTCATAGAGGATCCTGCTGTGATTTATGTCGGAGAGTGTTTTGCCTATGTTCTCCTCTAGGAGTTTTCTAGTTTCTGGTCTTACATTTAGATCTTTAATCCATTTTGAGTTTATTTTTGTGTATGGTGTTAGAAAGTGTTCTAGTTTCATTCTTTTACAGGTGGTTGACCAGTTTTCCCAGCACCACTTGTTAAAGAGGTTGTCTTTTTTCCATTGTATATCCTTGCCTCCTTTGTCAAAGATAAGGTGACCATAGGTTCGTGGATTTATCTCTGGGCTTTCTATTCTGTTCCATTGATCTATATTTCTGTCTTTGTGCCAGTACCATACTGTCTTGATGACTGTGGCTTTGTAGTATAGTCTGAAGTCAGGCAGATTGATTCCTCCAGTTCCATTCTTCTTTCTCAGGATTACTCTGGCTATTCGAGGTTTTTTGTATTTCCATACAAATTGTGAAATTATTCGTTCTAGTTCTGTGAAAAATACCGTTGGTAGTTTGATAGGGGTTGCATTGAATCTGTAGATTGCTTTGGGTAGTATAGCCATTTTGACAATATTGATTCTTCCAATCCGTGAACACGGTATATTTCTCCATCTGTTTGTGTCCTCAAAGGCTCCGTGTTGATTGTTGTCTTTGTTGCCATCCTGTACTGCTCTTTGGCCACCTACACCCGCCCACACATACAGATTTATACTTTGTATTACACACAGCTCCCAACTATTTCCAGTAGCTTTAATAACTACCTTTTAGTCATTTTTGTTTTTATTATTTTTAAAATTTTGTTTTATATTGGAGTAGAGTTCATTTACAATGTTGTGTTAGCTTCAAGTGTACAGCACAGTGATGTAGTTATACATACACATAATATCCTTTTTCAGATCCTTTTCCCGTATTAGTTATCACATGCTACTGAGTTCCCTGTGCTGTACAGTATTTCTGATTATTTACTTTGTATATAGTAGTGTGTATATGTTAATCCCAACCTCCTAATTTATCCCTCCCCCACCCCCACCTCTCCCCTTTGGTAACTGTAAGTTTGTTTTTGAAGCCTGTGAGTCTCTTTCTGTTTTGTAAATAAGTTCCTTTGTATCATCTTTTTAGATTCCACATATAAGTGATATCATACATTGTTTGTCTATCATATGATATTTGTCATTCTCTGATTTACTTCACTTAGTGTGATAATAGGTCCATCTATGTTGCTGCAAACATATATGAACTTTACGGATTTTATTTTTTCATGGCTGAGTAATAGTCCAGTGTGTGTGTGTGTGTGTGTGCGCACATGCATAGGGTCCAAAGAGTCAGATATGACTGAAGTGACTTAGCGCACACACACAGATAGGTAGATAGATAGATATAGATATAGATATAGACATACCACATTTTCTCCATTAATCTGTTGATGGGCATTCAGACTGTTCCCACTTTTTGGCTGTTGTGAGTAAAGCTTCTCTGATCACTTGACTGCTCTGGTCACATTGACAGATGTCAGTGCCCCGGCAGAAAGGTCAGGTTCCAGAGCCGGTGGTCTTTTCTGTGCTCCCTCTTCACTCCTCTGCTCCTGTTCATGAGAAAACCCCAACCATAGGTGTTTGCAGCTTCTGTAGAAGTGTTTCTTGTGGAGACTCGGGGCCTCTCCTGCCTCTGGTTTACTGTCACCCTCTGTTCCTTGCTGCTGGAACATGAAAATAGGATGGCCACTTCTCTTTCCGTCAGCTTGGGAATGCCAATATCCCCCATATGATTTCCACAGCAACACCGGTAGTTTTTGTATCAGCTATATGATTTCTTTATTTTTTAAAATTTTATCATCCCTGCCTTTATCAAGAACTTTTTCTGTGTCAGGAACTTTGTTAAGCACTTCACAGGAATTATTTTGTTTAATACTCTGAGCAACCCTGTGAGGTTGGAACAGTTTCCATTGCCTGTTTTAGAGGAGGGAAGCTAAGAGTCAAAGAGAGAAAACAGTTTGCTCCAGGTCACACAGCTAGTATGTGTCTGTATTGGGATTCCAACCCAAGTCGTCTGACTGCAGAGCTCTTTTAAAATGGCTCAAGGCAGCGGGGGAGACCAGACTTATTTTTAAAAGCTGCTTTTCCCCTAAGCTGTTTACCCACTCTTCGAATGAGAAGAGTCCAATTTATGGGCAGCTCAGTGTATTCCAGTGAGCCTTCTGCCCCTGGGTTCTGGGGTCTGTCTCTTCTGTGTGGCCATTTGGCATTTGACGTCTGTGCTGGGGGACTGGGAGCTGAGCTGACTTTACCCTGCAGGGGCTGAGCTGGCCTCCTCCCATTTCCAGAAGCAAGGTGATGAATGATCTCTGTTGCTGGATACCCTGTGCAGTCTGCCTCTGGGGAATTCCACTCATGCCTGCCCCGGCCTGGGAAAGCCAGGTTCCTTCTTGTTGGAGGTGGTCTGGGGGCTGGATGTGGGACAGACTGGGAAGGCTAGGGCTGCTGCTCTGGGCGTGCTGAGCCCTGTGTCCCTGCCCTGGGGAGCATGGAGCCCTGCTCCCGCTCTTCCCCACCCTCTCTGACCTCAGGTGCCTTTAAGGGTGTGTGCTCCATTATGGGCAGGCCCCAGCCTGGTGCGTGTGCCTGGGAGTCATCCTTCCAGGTGGTGTATGGGAGCTTCCTTGCTGTCACCTCTAGTGGGTCTCCTGCGTGTTGGCTTGGGCCAGCCCTGGGCACTGCCCTGACCTACTTCCTGACCATTTGACTTCCTAGAACTTTGAGTTCTCCCTTTGCAAATGGCTTTTTTTCCTGGGTGTTTGGTTTTGCTCTGTGCTAGAGCTCCCCTTTGCCTCAGTAGTATCTGGGGGAGCTGCCAGAGTCTGTGTGAGCCCAGCGGGCTCTTCCCCTCCACCTCCCTCGTCCTCCTCTTCTTCCCTGGTGATCCTCACCCCCACCCCATCCCCACTCTCTAGTTCCTACTCCGCTTGTTGCTCTAGGAGCAGTTCAGGTATCCTAGAAACAAGAAGAGAAACAAAGCTCGAAAAATTCTCCCAGAGGCCTAGAGGCAAATATCAAACCAAAACAAAGTTTTTCTGAAAGGAAATGAAACAGCTCAGGGAGGGTGGGGTGGAGAAAGACTTGCGTGAGGCAGAGGTAGGCGCAAGTCTCCGGGAAGAGACCCTTCAGTTTTAGTGGCTCTTGCGTCTTTTCTCCAGAGCTCTCCCTTTGCTGTTTTCCCCACAGGAAACCCACCCCTCACCTGTCACATTTTAAGCCCCTTGCTCTAGGAGGCCGAGCTGGTCCACAGATAGCTTTGAGGCCCTCAATTTAGTTGAAAACCCATAATTGACTTGGACTCCTTCCCTAGTTGCCGTGCTAGAGGGTTTCAGGAACTTTAGAGCCAAACACCAGCCCCTGTTGCTGCTGTGGAGTCAGTCAGTTTGGAGAATGGATTTCTCTTGACCCCTAATGCCAGAGTGCAGGACCTGGCTTGAGTGCAGAGCCTCTGTGCAGACCTGCTACTGGAGTGCGAGGTGTCCTGGAAAAGCGAGGGGCCCTATCTGGCAGCCAGGAAAGGACCTCTTGGTGGTTTAAGTCGGGCGGAGGAGGGGAAAGCCCGCTCTCCTGAGGAGGCCCTCCATTTACTC